TAATTGCCTTTGCTAATTTGCTATTGAACCAATTAAATGGAAATTTTTTAACCAGAGCAGGAACTCCTAGAGCTGTAGGTAGTGAGCTCCCTGATTTTGATTTTGGAATACCAGGTGGCACAGTCTAGTAGGTGGTTGAAATTGCTAGCCATCTTTTATTAGCAAGAATATTCGGTGTCAAATAATTAAAACTTTTTATAGACTGTTCTTCATTGGTCTGTCAAAAAATCCTTTATTTAAAAGGAAAACATGAGGAGATCTGTCACATAATTTCTTGCATGAATTATGTTAGGACCATGTTTCTCATGAATATGAATTCTCAAACCATTACCAAACATTAAAAAACTTTCTAAGACCAGACAGAACTGTTGAGGTCCTGATGATATAATAATTTACTTATTTCTTGTGTACCTTTTCTACAGTTGCATTTGTCTTAAAGAGATGTAGCTCTTTCTTAACATTCTTTAAAACTTTGGTCCTGGAAATTTTCAGGGAAAAGAAATATGTTGTTCATGTATAACACAAGCTATTTATTTCATAAATTGGAGATCATCATATGACTCATGGAGAAATAATGACTCTTTTAGAAAAAAAAGAAAAAAATCTTTCTTATGCTTGCAACCATTAAGAAAAAGACTGTAATGAATTGCATGGACTTTGATGTTAATATAGATTTCTATTTCTGTTTAGCTGTAGGAAGAACATAATTTTGCATTTCTGTAGGAATGTTATTTATTCATTTAATTTGAACCAATTTCTTTGGTGTCACCATTGTGTGATGAGATATAGTTATCTGAACAATTCTGATACGTTGCACTCACAAATGATCAAGTGAGCATTGTCATATCAGACATTGTTGAGCATTGTAACACATTAGAGGTATTTATAGCACTTTCATGCAATTGTATGTAGCTTTTTAGAGGTCAGAAGATAAAAGCATTGGCAAGAAAGATGTCAGGTTTAATCAATAATAGACTTATATCAGTGAGAAAAAGAGATGTGTGACAAGGACACCAAAGCCCATTTCTTCATAGCAAGTAGACATTTCCTGGATTTTTCCTGAAATAAAATGTTTTTAAGCTTTTAGCACAGGAGTGAAGAAGACATGATCATGGGATTAGGTAGGAAGATGGACAAACTCTTAAGTACTACCATGACATACAGGAGAACCAACAAATGTTTTGGTGAATTCTTTAAAAAATAAGTAAGCTGTCTCATGATTAATTTTTTATAATTCTCATAAAAGCATAACAAGGATTTGTGCTTCAGATGCCTTTGAAAAAGAGAGCATACTAGAATGTATTGGTTTTATTTTGCATAGCTATAATAAATTGATGGTTTTGCAGAAATTATAACATGACATTATGAAAGAATTTATTTTTTTTTTTTATCAATCCCTTCAGAAATACATGTAATGCACAGATGACATTGAATTTTCATCTCTTCCTGTTCCTGAAGGAACTAATGTGCAATGGTTGTCACGCATCTTTTTTTCTAAACTCACTATCCAACATATTCAAAAACATATCATTTACTCTAAGTATAAGGAAATATAGCCATTTTAAACTTGGATACGTTTTTAAGTGTTGGCTTAAATGAAAAAAAAAATGAATAAAATGTCTGAATAATAGATGTTTCTACAAGGGGAAAATGGTACTTCAGAAGACTTTTCCACGCAGTGTGTGACATCAAAGTTAATAGTACTGAATATGTAAGTGCAAAAGTCACCATTAGCAACATGCAAATAGCTTAATTTGTTCTCATAACAGGGACAAAAATGCCATCAAATGCATGATGTAAACAGCAAAATGTTTCAATCATGAAACAAATTCATGACTGAATTTTTGAATTTTTAAATAGTGAAGTTGTCAAATAATTTAAATCACTATTTTAAGGTGTTGTTATTGTTAATTCAGGAGATAATTCAGACATTATAAATATTTAGTATCATTGAAATGTCTAACCATGGTTTATGTTCCTCTTTTTAAAACTGTGGAGACATTTCTGCCTTAAAATTCTGTTTATATTCTAATCTTCAACGATGTAACTTGACCAGCAACTTAAGCTCAGAAACAATTTTGTTACTAATAATGTGGGAAAAAAAAATATCTCTTACAGTATTATATCCCATTCTGTACAGTGAGAAAGAATTAAGTTATTTCAGATGTATTTTCACTTATTTGTTTCCTTAATACGTACATGCAAAATGTATTTCATTATTCTTTCTCTTTATGACATAATTATCTTATACAAATTAAATTATATGGTACAAATTCTCATTTAGTTTTTATAAACTCATGCAGATTCTTCCAGTTCCCTTTCAAGTAAGTGACAGTGTTCCTTTTTAGAAATATATGTTTTTTAAGAAATGCCTTCACTATAAGCCTAGTGTGCTCAAAATTTTTGAGGAATGATGAACATTCTCAAAATCTTTTGGCCTTAAAGAAAGTGATATTCTTCAGCCTTTTGTTAGGTGGAACCCAACAAATGACTCAGATTTATCAGGAATATATTTTCATGTTTTTTCACATTAAAATTAAGAAACACATTTCCTATGTCCAAAAATTCAAAGTTCCAAATAATAATTTTTATACCTTTATCATAGTTCCAGTTGTCAACATTCATTGACATCTCAGAAACTTTACTTGTTTAACTATACCCACTGATCTTTAGAACTTGACTTGAGGCCAAAATCTCTTATTTGGAGACAAGAGACATCCTGACCTGTTCTTTTTGCTTTTTTGCAACTTTTATAGCAGGATAACTTTTGCCTCCCATGAAGGTCCCTCAAAGTATGCACAAGGAAAACATATTTGCAAGTGCATGTGTTGATATGTATCTGAAAGAGGACGTGTATTTATGTACATTATGCCAAAAATTTCTAAGGTGCATTTACTTTTTTAGTGACATTATAAAACACAGATTTTATGTTTTCTTTTTCTTTCTCTTTCTTCCTACTCCACTAAAAGTTCATTCTATGGTGCTTGTCTTAAATGGATGAATAAAACATATATATTTTTATAACCATTTCTCACAACCAGGCAGTCTAATTTCAGAGATGTCAGGTAGTTCCTTTACCAGAACAAAGATCCCTTTTCATCTCCAAGTTAATATTCACAGCTGGGTGAATGTTTCTGACACAAAGATTTCAGTTTGCATTATTCTTTTACTTATTATGGAACAGAAGGGACCTGTTCTGTTATCACAGTTTGCATATAATTGCTTGTCTTCCACCTAATCTTTAAGGTTAACTCACTACCTCAGAATCACAGAATTTCTAGGTTGGAAGAGACCTCAAGATCATCAAGTCCAACCTCTGACCTAACGCTAACAGTCCCCACTAAACCATATCCCTAAGCTCTACATCTAAACGTCTTTCCAAGACCTCCAGGGATGGTGACTCAACCACTTCCCTGGGCAGCCTGTTCCAGTGTCTAACAACCCTTTCAGTAAAGAAGTTCTTCCTAACATCTAACCTAAAACTCCCCTGGCGCAACTTTAGCCCATTCCCCCTCGTCCTGTCACCAGGCATGTGGGAGAACAGGCCAACACCCACCTCACTACAGCCTCCTTTAAGGTACCTGTAGAGAGCAATAAGGTCACCCCTGAGCCTCTTTTTCTCCAGGCTGAACAAGCCCAGCTCCCTCAGCCGCTCCTCGTAGGACTTGTTCTCCAGGCCCCTCACCAGCTTCATCGCCCTTCTCTGGACCTGATCAAGCACCTCGATGTCCTTCTTGTAGCGAGGGGCCTAAAACTGAACACCGTACTCGAGGTGCAGCCTCACCAGAGCTGAGTACAGGGGGACGATCACCTCCCTTGCCCTGCTGGTCACACTATTTCTGATACAAGGCATGTTCTGACAGTTAAAGTTCATGTGTATCAAAAGCTGTGTTTCACTGCATGAGGGAGTGCAACACAGAACTATTGCAAAATAATTTGTTTTCTGTGTGGACACCAAACATGAGACTTGATATGGAGGAAATGATTTATATGCCACCCTGTTGGGAAGGGGTTACAATCAAATAAAGATGAATGTGAGGAAGCTGAAGTTTGCATTGTGTCTAATTTTAATTAATACTTGATAACTGGAGTTCGTACTTCATGTGCCCTGACATTGACTTTCCTTAAGGACTTCGTAGAATGGCTAAAGAAATTACATTACTTTGTCTCAAGATGTTATGAAAATGTAAGTCCACGATGGGTTCCCAAAAAATACCGGGGTTAATTTTATTAAAGATACAAGCAAAAGTCAGGACTACAAGTCAGATTTTAAATTTTGCGTTTACTTTTTTTCCAGTGTAAATTGTGTTCTTCCTCAGAACTGTCTCCTGGAGATGTTTGTGCTCTGCTGCTATTGTCCTAGGGTTAGAACATAGGAATTGCAAATCATCTCCATGATACAACAATTGTATGAAAACATTCACTGCCTTTAATCTATAGACAGAGATCTTTAATCTCAGGACAGAGCAGTGTGTGCCATCTTTTCTGTCCTTAACTGTTGCTGCCAGTTTGGGATACATGGCCATTTGCTGGGAGTTTAGAGAGTGAGACAACTTATTTTTAATTTCTTTACATGAGTCTCTTCCTGCAAAATATCATTTTATTCCTTTTTAGGGTTTTACTGAACAGTTGGTCGGTTCTAAGTTTCTTATTGCATTTAGCTTTCCAGTTCTCACTCTCAAAAACTGGTTGGCTTACTGGGAGTTTGCCTCTCTGTGTATTTTATATAAACACAATGATCAGTAGCCTAGCTGCTGTGTGCCAGGCCCTGAAACTATGACAGATCCTGTCCAAGTAACTGACAAGAATGAAAGCTCCTACAATACTGCAGTGTGAACTTACTATGATTTACTTGACTGCTAGGATGCTTTAACTCAAGCGGTTCAAAAACCTATCGCAACAGGGTTCAGAGCATCAGACATCTGTGGTATTTTACTGCCTTTCCACTCTATGCATGCTGCATCTGACACTTCTTTTTGTTCTTTTTCCCATTCATGCAGTCACCTACTGCTGGCGACAAGGATGACCAAACACTGACGGTAGGCAGCAATTAGTATGTGTCTGAGTATTTATTTCTCAAGAGGTAATGAGAGAAGCCTTGCTTTGGTTTGGTACACATCAGCATTTTTCTAAATTACTGGGCTTTCTTTCTCCCTTCCTATGCTGCTATAGAATTTAAATCTTAATTTCCAATGACAAAACAGTGAATTAATTCCATTGTTCAGCTTCTCAGCTTCTATCATTTTTCATTTTTCATCCGGTGTTTGTATGACACCAAGAATTATTGCATGCACCATGTTTTTGTTACAAAAAAATTCCATACTTTTTTTCCTTTTGTTTGTTTGTTTGTTTTTTTCCTAAAATTGGTTTTCAGCAGATAGTCAGCAATCTGCTGGCTCTGGTTATCCTCTTTATCCAGATGATAATGAGCAGACTGCTGTCCACAAATCAGTCTTACTCAATGGGGTCTACTAAATGCATATGTTATTGTACTAGACAATGGCATGTGGAAAAGAACCTCAGAATACATTTAAAAGTTCTTTAAAACCATGTAAAAGATAATTGTATATTAGCTTCATTGTTGTAAGTGTCTGCACTGCCTTACCACTCTCACAATCTGTTTTTGTAAATGGTATTTAATGGATTGAACCAAAGTGAGTACATTTCCCTCTGACTGAACTCCAGGGTTTTACTGTTAAAATGGGGTACTCTCTGCCCCTTTTCTCCATGATTTGGATAGTCTGCTTATTTGAAATGTAATAGAGACATCTAAAATAAGGGCAATTTTGTGATTCAACCACAAGGTTCTTCAAAGAAACAGATTATGAATTCTTCCTTATGTCATTATGAGGTTTTAATTTTCTTAACATTTTAAGAGTTTTCACAGAGAAGGGTTATTTTCCCCTGCTCTTTTATTTTGCCCTATGAGACTAATTTGATGATCCATCCCCTCCACAGAAATTGACTATACATATAACAATGTTTAATACAGTGTATAGTTTAATATAATCTCCTATAGGCGATGTTTGAAAATATTTCATTGTGTGGTGAGATGTGAGATTCATTTGTAGTGTTTCGGGTCTATTTCTACACAAAAAACAAAAAAATTCTAATTTCTCTCTCTTATTTTTCTACATAGACCAAGCCACGTCTCCAACGGGGAGGAAGCTCTGCATCTCTCCACAACAGTCTAATGAGGAACAGCATCTTCCAGCTCATGATTCACACACTTGACCCACTCGCTGAAGGTATGCCTATTATTTATTTTTTTATTTTATCTTCTCCCCATGAAACTATTTTTTGTATTTCTGTTGCTTTCACCAGTATTTTCTGAATGTATCTGAATTTTCTGAGATTTCTTATAGCATGATATACATACTCCCACCAAGACTTGCAATTTAGGAAATGTGTTCATTGTGGCTCTGACCAAAACTGATCACTTGGTTGATACGTATCATAATTACTGGTTTTCTCTGTCTTTGGTTTCAGCAGTAAGTTACAAAAACGCAATCACCTTTTACTTTTGAAGAATGTTTTGTATGGTTTTTTCTTTTCTTTTTTTTTATTTCCTAGTCTTGACTATATAAAAGGAAAAATATATAAAGTATATAAAGGAAAAAATAAATAAATAAATAAATAAATAAAACAAAGCAGTGGGTACTTTGTCACATGTAATTAAAGAAAAATTAAAGAAAAGGATGAGGCTCTCCTGGTTTGGTTTTGGGTGGGTTAACACTGAGGTTAAAGAAAATGCAGCAAGCATCCCTCTGTGTTACCTGTATGTTAAAAGTTTGCTTGCTTTGACCATGTTTGTTGTAATTCTTGTTCCTTGAGAAGTTAGTAGGAAGATCATGATTGCTTTGGTCTGAGAAAGTGGCAGAAAAACCATAACTGCTTTACAATTTTGGGATGCTTTGAATTTAACCATTTGTAGACTTACAAAAAAAAAAAAATCAAGATCAGGTGTTTATTTGGTGTGTGTATGTCTGAAATGTCTGAAGACTTCTTGCTGTGGTAATAATTGTCTTGAGAAATAGCAGTTGAGGAAAAAGTGTGAAAGACTAAAGAAACATATAACTGACAGTGAGAATTTCCAAACATTGTTGATGATGGAATACATGTAGCAGTGTCTTTCATTTAAGTTCCTTTTATGTTTCTTATTGTAACATTGCACACAGCTCTTTAAATTGCTCTGTATCTCTTGGACAAGGTAAATCTACTTTTCTATTCTCCTCATCAAAAGATGAAGGCAATGCTCATGTTGTCAACACAAAGGCAATTTTAACTCTTGCATTCTCCACACAATTATTTCTACTCTGATAATAATCCACTGCCACAAGAAAATCGAGTACTTGTTTCTCTCTTTCATTCTGCACTATTTGCTGTCAAAGTCTGTTGCCTGTTAGCTTGGACTTAACAGCAGACTATGCTGTCTATTCCCATGAATGCTGAAAAAGGACTAAGAAATTTATTGGATCTATACATTTAACTTCCTTTGTTTGTATCACTGTGGTAGGTGAGTGGGATTTCTTACTGCTGCACCCATTCCTTTTAAGTCTCATCTTTACCCACCTGAAAGCTTTTTGCTTTGCTAGAAGAACAGACTTCCAGTCTCAACTTGCAAATATGCATATATATATATATATATATATATATATAATTTTTCATGACAATCTCTTGCACTCCTCTTTTCCATGCAACTGAAGGTGTTGGGCTGCAGATACATGTGATGTCTCTAAGTGCTTATACAAACAAAAATTCCAAACTGAAGCAGTAAATAAACTTCATCAAATCATTTTTTAAAATAAGAGAAAACTGAAGAAGGCTGGGAAGAACCTGTTTGCAGAGGAAAAAAAAATAATTGTCAGATTGAAGACCACGGGAAAGCTAGAAACATTTGTTGGAGTTCAATTTGGACTTGACAAAGGTTCAGCTCTCAGTTACTATGTATTTCTGCACTGCTCAGGCTTATTTCACTTGTTTCCCAGACGTAGATTTTTCAGCATTCAGACCTTTTCCCACTGCTCTTCACCCACGGCAAGCATGCACCATCTAGTGTGACCCAGTTTTTTCCCTTTGTGAAAACACAGGAAGAAAAGGGTTTTAAAATATGAAATCTGTCTAGGGAGTCACAGAAGCCCAGCACTTTTGAAAATTAGATTTTGTAGTTAAGTATATCAGGTAACTCAGTGCAATTACTCATTATTTCAGTAAAACTCTTGAAATCAACATGGATTAATAGAGATGATAGTTGCAAGGGATACACCTTATTTAAATAACTAAAAAATAAAAAATAAAAATAAAAAAATTGTCATGGTTTGCTTGCTCATAATACCTTACTGTGTCCTAGTTTTTTTTTTGTTTGTTTGTTTGTTTTTTTTTTCTTGCTTTCTATCTAAATGCTTATATTTCTCCTGGAATTCATGTTCTTCAAAAATCAGAATCCAAGGGTCCTGTACTCTAAGTTCAAGGCACTAATATGAAAGCTGTATGTTTCATTAAAACTGACTTGCTGAGTTAGAATTTACAAAGGCAAGAAAAAAACACTACCTACATTTGCAGTAAATATTGTATTTTAATGTAGAAGTTTCATAAAGAAATGTCCAAAAAGGCAATGGAAAATAGTGCGAAGACATCAAAGTTAGAATCATGGAGCAGATCCTCCTAGAAACCACGTCAAGGCATAAAGAAGGCAGGGAGATGATTGGAGACAGCCAACATGGGTTCACAAAGCGCAAATCATGCCTGACTAACTTGGTGACAGTTAGTTATAGTGGACAGCATTGGTGGACATGGGAAGAACAATTGATGTTATTTACCTTGACTTGTGCAGAGCCTTTGATACAGTCCTGCACAACATCCTTACCTCTAAATTAGAGGGGCATGGATTTCATGGGTGGACTGTTTGGTGGATAAGGAATTGGACTGCATCTGAAGAGTTCTGGTCAATGGCTTAATGTCCAGGTGGAGACCAGTGATGACCACTCCTATGAACAGAGGCTGAGGGAGTTGGTGTTGTTCAGCCTGGAGAAGAGAAGACTCTGGGGAGACCTTATAGGAGCCTTCCAGTACCTAGAGGAAGCCTACAAGAAAGCAAGAGAGGGACTCTTTTTATGCAATAGGACAACGGGTAGTGAATTTAAACTAAAAGTAGGTAGATTTAAATTAAATATTCAGATGAAATTCTTCACTATGAGAGTGATGAGGCTATGGAACAGGTTGCCCAGAGTCAGTAAATATAGATGATGTTGCACTTGAATCTTGTATTCAACTCAAAAATATATGTGCTAACTGTTAAGGGTAGCTGCTGTATGCTGTATCAATTATCTATTTGTCTCTGCATCAGTTTAACCCAGCAAACTTCTTCATGTTCTCCTGTTTTAACTTTCCTTTGTATAAAAATAAAATAAAATAAAATAAAATAAAATAAAATAAAATAAAATAAAATAAAATAAAATAAAATAAAATAAAATAAAATAAAATAAAACAAATAAAATAAAATAAAATAAAATAAAACAAATAAAATAAAATAAAATAAAATAAAATAAAATAAAATAAAATAAAATAAAATAAAATAAAATAAAATAAAATAAAATAAAATAATAAATATAAATCAATAAACTGGCACATCATATTTACTTTAATAACCCTGTACCATGCTACCTAAGTAATTTTTTGAGCTGATAGCATTTCCTTGTTAGAAAATAAAACAAGGGGTAATATTTACCGGAACTGCCTGAGAAGTACAATCTATTATTATAACATCCCATCTTTTGAAGGGATATAGAAGTGTAAAGGATTACCTGGAACTTTCTTTGGCACATACTACTCTCTCCACTTCATATGCCCTTTCTTACAACAGAAAACAGTACATAATGAAGAAAAGAGCATAAAGTTCATGACAGTTTTGAGTTTTGTGTAAGCTAAAGAACACAAGCTCTGTTGCGCTAATAACAAAAGATGATGGGTCTTTTGTACAGCCTCTGAGGCCAAAGGATTTCTTCCAAATCAATTAAGGTCAGTATGGATCAGACTCGAAGGAATAGCAGGAAGAAATTCTGAGCATTTTTTGGCCATATGTTAGCCATCTTGGGTCTCCTCAATATTTCTGCAGAGATCATAGCAGATCATGCTTAGATTAATGGGTCAAAAGGTCATTAAATCATTGGCCACATTTTTGGATTTACAGAAAACAAACAAACAAACCAAAAAAAAAAAAGTATATGAAAACATTTGTAAAAAAAAAATTTCTCAGAGGAAAAGAGTGTGAAAGATTTAAATCAAAGCACATACATACACAAGTACTCTGGCACCCCCCTGTACTTGTGCATACTCCTTCTGCCCTCCTCCCTAATTTCTCCTGCCATTCATTATTACTCCTGTTTTCTTCCACACTTGCTCTTTCCCCATTTTGCTACCATTTGCTTCCTTCACTTTGTTCTTTTTGTCCTTATACTGCATCTCTCTCATCTTCCTCTGCTTCCTTTCATCCTCCTTGGGGATGGCTTCCTCAGCACTTGCATTCCTTCTGGCCTGCTGTGTGTGGTGGTTTTCTCAGGTGAGCAGCTGAGCTCCACCATAACAGCTCTTTTACTCCACCTTCTCAAAGGGAAAGGGGGAGAAAATGCAATGTAAAAGGTTCAGGGGTTGAGATAAGGAGGGGGAGATCACTCAACAATTATTGTCACAGGCAAAACAGAGTCAGCATAGAAAGATTAATATAATATATTACCTATTACTAAAAAACTAGAGCAATAAGAAACAAAACAAAACAAAAGCAATCTAAAACCACCTTCTCCCCATACACACTTTTCTATGCCCTACCCCTGAGCAACACAGGGCTGTCTCTCACTCTTCTCTCCCTGCTGCTGTTGCACAGCATTTTTTTGTTGTTGGTGGTGGTTTTTTTTTGTTGTTTGTTTGTTTGTTTGTTTGTTTTGTGTGTGTGTGTGTGTGTGTGTTTTGTTTTGTTTTGTTTTTTTCAATCTGCTCTCCCAGAGCCCCAACCAACATTGCTTATTGGCTCAGATCTGGCCAGTGATGGATGCCTTTGAAAATGAATGAAAATGGCACTTATCTAATGTGGGGCAGCTTCTGGATTCTTCTCACAGAGGCCACCCCTGCAGCCCCCTGTTACCAAAAGCTTTGACAACCTGCTTTGTCATTTGGACTTGTGTGGCTTTTGCAAGCTTGACAGATCAGAAGTCCCACCTAAATGTGCTTAGTGGTAGCATAGGTATGAATGTAT